CAATGGATCACTTGGAGTCCTTTATTGCCGAGTGTGATCGGAGAACTGAGCTTGCCAAGAAGCGACTGGCAGAGATGCAGGAGGAGATCAGTGCAGAAGTTTCTGCGAAGGCAGAAAAAGTACATGAGTTGAATGAAGAAATCGGAAAACTTCTTGCTAAAGCTGAGCAGCTGGGAGCTGAAGGAAATGTTGATGAATCCCAGAAAATTCTTATGGAAGTGGAAAAAGTCCGTGCAAAGAAAAAAGAAGCTGAGGTTAGTGGGAAATGTCTTTAAGAAAGAGGAAACTTAGTAACCCCAGAAGATTCACCATTTGGGCTAAAATTAAAGCATTCAATTTTTTGAATATTGGAAAGAAGTTGGAAATAAGATGCTGTATGGATAGGATTGTAGGATTTAGAGTCTGTGCACAGTTGGGTTTGTGCCTTTGCTCTGCCCCCCTGTGACACTCGTTTGACATCAGACCAATCCCTTACCAGCCCTGCGCATAACACCTATATGCAGAATGCAGTCCTGAGAGTGAAGTCACTGGAGTGGTGTCTTCTTTTTTTTTTTTGTAATGTTCATTTATTTATTTTGAGAGAGAGAGAGAGTGCTCGAGCATAAGTGGGGAGGGACAGAGAGTCCCAGCTGTACTCTGCACGGTAAGTGCATAGCCCATTGTGGGGCTCGATCCCACAACCATGGGGTCATGATCTCAGATCTCAGCCAAAACCAAGAGTAGGACGCTTAACCGACTGAGCCACCCAGGCACCCCCAGAGTGGTGTCATTTTACTCTCTGATCCTCTGGCTCCCTAGGAGGTTGCTGGGCTGTGGTGGTTACTCAGCTGGCATGAGCGGGTCAGAGTTATATTGGAGAATGAAAACTGGGTGTCCTTGGCAACAGTACATCTCTTGTAGGGAGAACCTGTGCAGACTGAGGGTAGCATCCAAGTGGTGTTGGCTGGGATGCCAGGCCAGGATGTGCGGTGGAAAAAATGAGTCAGGGACTCATTGTTTGTATAACTGACAACCGTGTTCTTCCTAGATTATTGTATCCATCAGATATGCTTTGGATCTCAAGTCCTTACCCCTGGAATGGGAAATGGCTCATGTCGACTTTGAGAATGGTGGGAACAGTAGAGTCAGAGGGAGGTGGGATGGTTGTGTTCCTGTAACACATGCTTATTAAGCTCCAGCTATGTGCCAGATACTTTCTGGTTGTGAACATGCCAGAGGATGCCCTTCTTGTGGAGACAGTGCTGGAGGCGGGAGGGGGTGCAGAGAGAAGAGTATGTGAACAGATGGATATGTTTCATTCTGAGGAAATCTGGTGCTTAGAAGCAATGGGGTCTGGGGGCACCTGTGTGGCTCAGTCCATTGAGGGTCCAACTCTTGACTTCAACTCACGTGGTGATCCCAGGGTTGTGAGATCGAGCCCCGTGTTGGGCTTTATATTGGGCATGGAGCTTGCTTGAGATTGTCCATCTCTCTCTCAAAAAACACATAAATAAAAATTAGAATAAATAAAAGAATTCTTTAAAGAAGAAAAAAAGAAATGGGGTCTGAGTTTGAGAGTGACTTTGTGTTGCCAAGGGTCTCCAGGTAGAGTAATTTGGTCCTGGGAGTCCCTTTAGTGGAGACCTATGAACTGAGACGGTTCTTAGAGTGGTGGGGGCCGGTAGAGGTGAGCAGATGGCATGTAGTTGTCAGGTCCCCTTTGGTTATCTCTGTACACCCCTGGCTCAGCATGGTGATGAACACGCAGTAGGAGCTCGGTAATGACTAACTGAATGCATGGATAGTGCCAGGGGCCTGTTGGTGTTAGAGCGATGCCCACTGAGGCAGTAGTCAGTACAGGGAGCAGAAGGATTACTCAGGACAGGGCTGTGCTGGGGTTGGGGTCATCTCCAACTTTTAAGGTATCTCCTGGAAGGTGGTGCCAAGATAATGCCTCATACCCCTGGCAGGACGGCACCTGCTTAGTGACATATATAGCTGATATGGTCCATTCTTGAACATGAGAGGGAGAAAATTCACAATACAGATGGATTTTCTTTTAAGTTTGTTTCTTTTGAGAGAAAGAGACCACAAGTGAGGGAGGGGCACAGAGAGAGACTGAATCCCAAGCAGGCTCTGCAGTGTTAGTGCAGAGTACAGTTTCGGGCTTGAACTCCTGAACTGCCAGGTCATGACCTGAGCCAAAGTTGAACACTTAGCCAGCTGATCCACCCAGGTGCCCCCAGATGGATGTTTTGTAAACAATTTTTTTTCCCCAGCATTTTTATTTATTTTAAGGGAGACAGATTGAGAAGAGGAGAGGCAGAGAGAATCCCAAGCAGGTTCTGCACTGTCAGCACGGAGCCCGACATGGGGCTCAAGCTCACCAGCCGTGAGATCATGACCTGAGCTGAAACCAAGAGTCAGATGCTCAACTGACTGAGCCATCCAGGCGTTCTCCCCCACCCCCCGCCCCAGATGGATGTTTTGTATGTAAATGCTTAGATGTATTCAAGGTAAAAGATGGATGGGTTGCGAATGTGACAGTTGCAGGTGTTACCTTGAGTGGCATTGCCATGTTAGTATGAGTTGGTAGAGTTCCAAACAGTCTTTCCTGGTTTACAGAGTAGATCCATATCCAGGAAATTGCATGTATATTTAAATCTTGCATTCTGCACAGGATTTAAGTCCCTGAGTATCTATACAAATGTAAAACACGTATATACGTCCTTACGTAGGATCTAAACCGATGTATATTGAAATGGGAAATTTTTGTGTACATGTAGGAGAGTCCTGACAGCTCTGTCCAGTGGGAAGCTCTGTCGCCTGTTGGTACGTCCTGTGGCCCAGCTCTTTCAGCTTCTAAGAGCCGAGCAAACACCAGAAATCCTTAGGATGGCTCAGAGATTTGTATGTAGGCATAAAAAATTGTACATGTGGGGTTCATCGTGTGCATGTCTGCAGACAGCCCACACAGGAGCAGAATGTAGCATGCGTGGCTCTTCGTGCCCAGGACTCCTAGCATCCTTGCCCTGGCCATTTGTCCTCCATCCGCATCACTGAGGGTGCCCCCAGGAGGCAGCACCACTTTCTTAAAACCACTGGGAAAGACAGGGTGGTGTTGGGCAGGTCTGGGCAGTGCTGACCTAAGGTAATAAGGCACCTGTGGGTTCCTTTTTGCTTTTAGTAGTGGACAAGGGTGGGTGTGTTGGGTAGTCTCAAGAAATTATGCAGAGAGATCCCATGTACCCTTTAGCCAGTTTCCCCCAGTGGTAACATGTTGAAAAACTGTAGTACGGTATCACAAAGGATGTTGATAGTCAAAAGTCCATCACCACTGAGATCCCTCCCACGATCCTTCTGTAGCCACACCCACTTCTCTGACCCCTGGCAACCACCAATCTGTCCTCTATCTGTATATTCTGGTTATTTCAAGAATCTTATGTAGATGGAGTCATACAGTACATAACCTTTTGAGATTGGCTTTTTTTTTTTTTTTTTAAACTAGGCATAGAGTTTATTTTGAAAGATATGAGGCGGTGGTATTCAAAGTTTTGAAACTAGAAAGGGACAGAATATCACAGATATTCGTGTGCCCAGCATATTTACGTTTTTGAGTAAGGTTTTTGGTTTTGTTTAGCAATGGGGCACCTGCGTGGCTCAGTCAGTTTAGCGTCCAACTTCAACTTGGGTCATGATCTCACAGCTTGTGAGTTCGAGCCCCGCGTCGGGCTCTGTGCTGACAGCTCAGAGCCTGGAGCCTGCTTCGGATTTTGTGTCTCCTTCTCTCTCTGCTCCTCCCCCACTTATTCTCTGTCTCTCTCCTTCAAAAATAAATAAAAACATTAAAAAAAAAAAAGTTATAGCACATCATAATGGAAATTCAGGTTCCCCGTCCTTCCCCCTCTAGTCCCATTCTCTCCCTCCTCAGAGGCAGACGTTACTGTGCATTCAGTTTTGTCTTTGTCTGGTATTACTCATGTGTACCGCCTGTAAACTCTGTGTGTGTGTGTGTCTGCGTTGTGTGCTTTGTGAGTTTAAAAAGTCCCAAATAGGGGCGCCTGGGTGGCTCGGTCGGTTAAGCGTCTGACTTCGGCTCAGGTCATGATCTCACAGTCCGTGAGTTCAAGCCCTGCGTCGGGCTCTGTGCTGACAGCTCAGAGCCTGGAGCCTATTTCAGCTTCTCTGTCTCCCTCTCTCTCTGCCCCTCCCCTGTCCATGCTCTGTCTCTCTCTGTCTCAAAAATAAATAAACGTTAAAAAAAATAAAATAAAAAGTCCCAAATAAATCCTGCCTTTTTTTAAAAAATATTTTTAATGTTTGCTTATTTTTGAGAACAAGGGCGCGAATGGGGGAGGTGCAGAGAGAGAGGGAGACACAGAACTCAAAGCAGGCTCCAGGCCCTGAGCTGTCAGCACAGAGCGTGATGTGGGGCTTTTAACTCATGGACTCACGGGCCTTGAGAACATGACCTGAGCCGAAGTCAGCTGCCCAACCGAGCCGCCCAGGCGCCCCTAAATGCTGCCATTCTGTACACATCTCTCACATGCATTCCTCACTTAGCACTGTTTGTAAGGTCCCTCCTTGTTGCTACATACAACTTCCTTCAGGTTATTGCTGTAGGCTTCCGCTTCACAGACGTGTTACTGTCCGTTGGCGGTTTCTCATCTTACAGACAGCTCCACAGCAAGTGCCCTTGCACTTGTTTGCTGGCACGTGTATGAGCGTGTTCTAGGACGTACACCTGGAAGAATTTCTGGTAATGGCATGCACTGTCTTGCTCTCAGATTATTCAGTTGCACCACCTGTTAGTTGCACCAACCTAGTCTCCTCCCCGCAGCGTATGAGAGTGCCCACCAGTTGAATGAATGACATGGTGACTTACGTTAATCTCCATTTGCCAGGGAATTTTGAACGTGTGAATTAATGGAAGATCCCATAAGTAAGGGTCAGTGACTGTTGGAATGCATTTCTTAAACCTGGGTTTGGAAAGAGTGTTTTAGCTTTGGCACAAGCGGCAGGAGCCATGTCCCTCTTTTCTTTTTTTTTTTTTTTCTTTTATATTTCATGCATTCCACCTTGAAGCTGAGTGAGTTACTCCTTATAATAGGATTCGGACTGGAGTGGCTGCACTAGGTGGTGTAGTTTGCTCTGTTCTATTATATACTTCCTTCTTTGAAGAGAGGGTCTAATGTATTTGTCCTTCCACATTTTAGTTTTTGGGGTTGCATTGGTATACAGTTTTCTGAATGTTGGGACACAGTCTCTATGAGTGGCTCTTGTATGTTTTGCTGGTTTATTTGGTTTGGGTTTTGTGCTTTGTTTTTTCAAAGGCCCCTTTTGAAGGTTCTCCCTTCTTGCTTCTCTGGCCCTCCTACACTCTCCTCTGTGCGTAGCTGAGACCCCTTCTCTGCTGGCCTCTGAGACCAGCACCCTGCTTGTCAGAGATTTAAATGTTCTTACTGTTTTGGAATCATGACTGTTAGTTCATTTTGTAAATAAATGATGAAAATTGAATTGGTTATTTCATTTTGTAAATAAACGATGAAAATTGAGTTGGTTACAAATATCTGAGGCTTGTAAGTGGTGTAGTTTTTATTTATTTAAAAGTCATCCCTGTAGTCCCTTGAAATGTATCCATTTTGGGGTTGAATATTTGGTTGTGGTGCTGGGTACCTCACTGTCCTTGATCTGTTCGTGTTGTCCAGGAAGAATACAGAAATTCCATGCCCGCTTCCAGTTTTCAACAGCAGAAGCTGCGCGTCTGTGAGGTCTGTTCAGCCTACCTTGGTCTCCACGACAATGACCGTCGCCTTGCAGACCACTTCGGGGGCAAGTTACACTTGGGGTTCATTCAGATTCGAGAGAAGCTTGATCAATTGAGGGTACGTTAATGTGTTGTGTTTCTGGAGAAACAAGTCTCTTGACTGTCCTCATGTTTCTTGACTTCTAGAAAACCTTGTGTTTTTATCCTCTCTCAAGAACGTGCCTTGAGTTTTATAGTGAAGTATTCTGATTTCATCACTTTGTTCACACAAGAGATCTAAGGTCTTAGAATCCAGAGGGACCTTGGATATTTATTTAGTCTGCACTTGTTTACAGGAAACAAAGAGTCTCCTCCCCAGGTACAGACCGCTCTTGCCCACCTCTGAAGTAACTTCTGGTTGGAGATCGGAAGAGCCAGTAGTCTCGTTTTTCTCCTTGGACAGAGGTGGATGTGTGGAGAGTGGTTAGGCTAGACAGAAGATCACATTTCCCGGCCCTTGCCTTTGAGCCTTCTCTGGAGGATGCGGATGTGGTGGGGCTTTTTTGGATGGTGCTGCTGCACCACTGTCCACCTTTGTCTCTTCCCCAAGACTCCTCATTTTCCTAGGTTAGGCTCTAAAACATATCATGGGTGCAGAACATTCTGAAGGAAGGATGAGCGTGTTTTAGATACTTTGAACTGTTTTTCAGACTGGTGGAGTCCTCCCTGCTGCGTATGGAGACCATTGGGATGGGGTACTAGGCCTCCTATGCAGGCCTTCCCTCCACGCACGTGAAATTCAGTATAGAGGGACAGACATATGGCCCCTGACTGGGACCCTGTGACCATCGGGGTAGAGAGCCTTGTGTGTCCCCAGAAGGAGCAGGGGGGACAGAGCTCTGCTCCTGAAGAGGGGTTGCCAGCAGGTGCGGTGTGAACTCACCAGCAGGGGTGGGGCTGGGGTGGCTGGCAGCCTCTGCTCTTGAAACATTCAGCTCTGTGCTCCCAATAGAATTTTGAAAAGTGATACACTCTGTCACATATTATTAAGTTGGAATTTTGTCCTTGCAAGTTGATGGATATGAAAGGTGTAAAAATATTTGTGTCGCCAATAGAATATAAAACTTTTTTTAATGTTTGTCTATTTTTGAGAGACAGAGTATGAGCGGGAGAGGGGCAGAGAGAGAGGGAGACACAGAATCTGAAGCATGCTCCAGACTCTGAGCTGTCAGCACAGAGCCGGACAGAGGGCTTGAACCCACGACTGTGAGATCATGACCTGAGCCGAAGTCGGACGCCTAACCGACTGAGCCACCCAGGTGCCCCACCAATAGAACATAAATAGCAGTTTGGTGTCCACTACCATGCCCGCTAAAAATGTACTACTTAGCAGTTGGAAATGGCACTTTTACATTTCTCCTTTAAATTACGTTTCCATTTTCTATCATCCCATAATTTTGTCCTGGTATTTTTTTTTTTTAAGTTTATTTATTTATATTGAGAGAGAGCGTGAGCAAGGGAGCAGCAGAGAGAGAGAGAGAGAGAGAGAGAGAGAGAGAGAGAAAGAATCCCAGGCAGGCTCAACACAGAGAGAGCCCCACATGAGGCTCGATCTCCCAAACCATGACATCATGACCTGAGCTAGAATCAACAGTTGGACGCTTAACTGAGCCACCCAGGTGCCCCTGTCCTGGTATTTTTTTTTTTTTTTTTTTTTTTTTTTTTTTTTTAGCTGAAAACTTTATTTTTTTCTTAACACATATTTCTCCAACAGACATGAGAGTATATTGAAAATTTTCCCCCTAAAACCTTAAGAACTTAAGTATTAACTTGATCTAGAAAGCATGTTTTATCATTGAAGTTACAAGTGGCATGTCGTTGACCAAAGCAACATAAATGTATTTTGATAATAGCTGTTAAACTAACAACAGAAAATGTATTTGTAAGTGCACCTCCTAACAGTAGGGAGGGGTAGAGTTCTGGGCCCTAATCAGAGATGGCGTCCCTTGCATTGGTCCCAGAGGTGTGCCACACCCTGAGGGTAAGAGCGAGGCAAGACCTTCTTTGTTAGGGGTGGAAGCATAGTGTCTAGGAAGTAGGGAGATGTGGAAGGGAGTTAATGCCAGACCATAGGCCTATGCTCGGTCACATCCCCTTTAGGAAGTTAAGGGGCTGAAACTCCCATCCTTAACCCTAACCGTAACCTGTCCATCGTTGTGTGCCTGCTCAAGTGTAGGACAAGTGAAACCAGGGGTGGAGGGCCAGAAGCAACCAGACAGGAAGGCTCTCGTGCCTTGGGAGTGCTTTGAGGACAGCTGGCCCCTCTCTCTCAGTCCTTGCTACGCCTCTCATGCAGTGTCTGGCTGTAGTCTGCAGCAAGGTGGGACCATCCTTTGTGCCATCATGAGCACGAAAACACTGATGACCCTTTGTCTCCCTACTCCACTCTACACAGGGCTTCGTTCCACTCAGCAGAGAGGTGGGGGCACCAAAAGGCTTTGAGTTGACCTTGGGTGGGAGTATGCAGACTGATCCCAGGGCTTTGAGCTAAGCTGTGTCAGTTGTGTTCGGGTAGTAACGTTTCTCAAGGCCTCCTCCTGTCTGTGCATTGTCTTTGCTCCGTGTTTACAATCCAGCCTGATGGGCCAAGTATTGAGGGTTCAGGGTCTACCTCCCCTGGCCTACTGTCGCCATGAGGCTGGGTCTAAAGCCAGTGTAGCACGCAGCACCCCAGGGACAAGCAGCAGGATGTGTTTGGTTAGAGATGTGTTCTTTTTTACCATAAAGTTTGTGGAGTCTCCTTTGGGTAAAAAAATAACTTTCTGGATTGGTGTGAGGCAAAAGATAGATTTCTGTGACTTAGAACTGTAGCATCTGTTAGAATATACACGTCACTGAATTTGTAAGATATAATGATAAAAGCGTTATTTTCACGTATTTCCCATTAAGAAGCTTTAATGGTGATTGTGTTCCTGTTTCTTAAGAGTTTCTATTGGATTTCTAAATTATCAATATTGAGATTACGTAAAAGTGCTTTGTTAAACAGCGTTCACACTCTAGTTGGTGTAACTTGCTCTTCTCTCATTTTCCAATTTCTTGTTTATTTAGAAAACTGTGGCTGAAAAGCAGGAGAAGAGGAATCAGGATCGACTGAGGAGGAGAGAGGAGAGGGAGCGGGAGGAGCGGCTGAGCAGGAGGTGAGTCCACGGCGGATCCACGCCCAGGGAGACCCTGCTCCTTCCTTCAGTCTGGCTCATAGCACTTGAGCTCAGCTACGGATCTCAGTGGCCCTTAAAAGAAAAGTAAGCAATGTGCAACATGTTTCGGAGAGCAGGGTTTGGGCTGGCGTGGTAGGAGCCTTGCGGTGCGTACACGGCCACCCTGAGCTGCGGGAGCAGTTGTGACAACCTCATTTGTACCTGGAAAGGTGTGAGGGAGGGCTGAGCGGTGGCAATGGGAGAGGCACCTGCCGCGCCCCCACGAGGTCAGGGCGGACCGGTAGGGCAGGAGCAGAGACTTTGTGGAGCTGGAGCGTGTTCTGTCACACAGCCGTACTGCCCTAGGGGAAATCCATCAAAGGGCCTTAGGGCTGAGTAGACTCCAGTGTTGACTGAGGGTTGTGGGGCCAGTGGACAGGGGCAGAATCAGTGAGAACTGTGAAGAGCTACCTAGGAGAACCAGGCGAAGGAGCTGCTGGTTGACGGGTGCGAGTGGGAAGGGTGTGGGTGTGTTGTGGGGGTAGAGCTGATAAGGTTTGCTGGTACGAGGTGCCCAGGCAAGCAGAGGGGGATTGAAGTCGGCCTCACTGCTTTCCGGCCTGGCGTGGCCACTTAGGACAATGGAGAAGACTGGGACCGGTGTATGTGGTGAGAAGGCGCTGCGGGGAATATGACTTGGCTTTGACTGTATTCGCTTTGAGATGCTTAGGAGACATCTGGTCAGAGTTCAGGGAAGAGGCCAGACGCCGGACCACGCTCTCGTGGGGCACAGCTCGCTGTTCCTTGAAAGGCCTGGATGCTGGGATTCCTGGAGGAATTTCTTAGTTTGTAATTCAGAAAGGACAGATCACGTTTATAGTTTTCTCTGTGTTTCTTTTCATTACTTTAATCATCTAACAGGTTGTGATTGTAAAGAGACTCACTGAGTATAAAAACGTATTAAGCAAAACACGTAAGTCTCTTTTTACCCGAAAGTGACCACTACTCCGGTGGGGTGTGTCTGTGTGTGCGGAAGCACGTGGGACCCTTGCCTCATCTCTGAGATCTTCCCCCAGCAGGGGTGCTCCTGACAGATACACAGTGCCCTTACAGTGATGTGGCAAGGTTAACTACCCTTTTTTCCTCCCCCACCTTCATACTTTTTGCACATCCCACCCCCTGCCTCTGGCAGCCACCATTCCGATCTCTGTATCTGTGAGGTTTGGGGTTTTTTTTAGGTTCCACAGATAACTGAGATCGTACAGTATTTGTCTCTGTCTGACTTATTTCACCTAGCATCATGCCTTGACGGCCCGTCCATGTTGTCACAGATGGCAGCATTTCCTTCCTTTTTGTGGCTGAGTAGTGTTTCGTTGTGTATTTACTTGTTTATCCGTCCATATGTCGGTCTCCATGTCTTGGCCCTTGTAAATAACAATGTGATGAACGTAGAGGCACAGAGGTCTTTTCAAGATAGTGATTTCAGTTTCTTTGTTCCTGTTGTTGAGAGGGGCAGAGGAAGAGAGAAAGAGAGAGAAGGAATCTGAAGCAGACTTCACGCTCAGTGCAGAGCCTGACGCGGGGCTTATTCCCACACAACCCTGGAATTAGGACCTGAACTGGAATCAGGAGTCGGGGGCACTTGGAGCTATAGGCCTGAGAACTAGAAAATAACAAGTCTCTGAGAAGCTGACTCTCCTTCACCTTGTAGACTAGGGGCACCTCTCCTCATACATATGTGAGGGGCGGGGCAGTTTGGGGGAAATTGTTCATCTTTTTTTTTTTTTCTTTCAGGTCTGGTTCAAGAACCAGAGATCGCAGGAGGTAGGTTTGCAGATCCATTAATGTGTTCTCAGTCAAATGTCCCTTTCCATGTGCATTTTTTCCTTAATAGTTAACCATTATAGCTTCACACTTGTTACCTGGTGGGCAGGGCTGGTTGGGGACACACTCAAACCCTGTCTGTCTTCGTCAGGTTGGTTGGGGCTTAGTGCAGCAGAGGGACCCACTGTCAATGAGAGAAGTCAGGTGGGATTGCTGAGGCCTATGGGCAGTGAGTGTTTCCTGGCAAGATGTTTTCGGGAAGCATCAGTGGGAGCATCAGGCCATAATTCTCTTTGACCGGAGATTGATTGGGGGGACTCTTGTGAACCCCAGTTGTATTTTTGTAGGAGGGAAGGGGAGATGCCAGGGAAGCATCAGGTCGGACCTGCTGAGAGAGAAGGGCTGTTGGGATGGGGCCATCACAGCCTTCAGAGCCATCTGGGTGTCTGCTGCAGGTCGCGCTCCCGGGACCGGCGTCGGAGGAGGTCAAGATCTACCTCCAGGGAGAGACGGAAGTCATCCCGGTCCCGGTCCCGAGACAGACACCGGCGCCACCGCAGCCGTTCCCGGAGCCACAGCCGGGGCCACCGCCGGGCTTCCAGGGACCGGAGTGCGAAATACAAGT